TTGCCCATCAACCAACACAGGCTCCTCTGTCTCAGGTATTGCCGTTAAGTCCACCATTTTCCTTTACCGTAACTGACGCCTCACCTGTACTGCACAGGGTGAGACTGGAGAAAGCTAGCAGAACAATGCACAGCAACTACTCTGAGTGAAGGGACAGTCAAAATAGCACTCCTCCCACTCCAAGTCCAATTCAGCTTGCTGCCTGGGTCGAAGCTCACACCGTTTTAGCCTTTGTAGTGTTCGCTAGCCTTGCCAGGTAGGGAGAACATGACAGAAACCCCGTGGATTCTCCAGGAAGAAAGTGACTTCAGTCACAGATGTACTTGAGCTAACACTCACCCAAAGTTGCCAACAATAAGCAGATTCCAGCTCACAAGATGATCATTTCTAATTTCACAGTCACATTACTTTGGGAGAAGTGTCCGAATTATAACCAAAACATTCCCCTCGCTCATGTTCAATATTAATCCAGACACAGACTAAGTACTGCACAGGGTTTTGCTCTCCTTATGTGAGGAGATATAACTGAGCACTTCAGAGAAAGTTCACATCTTGATATTTGGAGTGAAGGGATCTCTATGAAAGCTTGAGCAGCTGGACTATTACTCACTTAAGATTTGAAGAATGAGGGGAGATATTTAAAAGGAAACATTGTTTCATTGGGTTCAGAGAAGGTTCACTAGGATGATCCCTGGTATGGAGAGATTCTAAACAGGTTGGATCTCAGAACATAACAGTGCAGTACAGGCCCTTCGGCCCTCAATGTTGCGCCGACCTGTGAAACCAATCTGAAGCCCATCTAACCTAAACTATTCCATTATCATCCATATGTTTATCCAATGACCATTTAAATGCCCTTAAAGTTGGCGAGTCAACTACTTTTGCAGGCAGGGCATTCCATGCCCTTACTACTGAGTAAAGAACCTACCTCTGACATCTGTCCTATATCTATCACCCCTCAATTTAAAACTACGTCCCCTCGTGCTAGCCACCACCATCCGAGGAAAAAGGCTCCCACTGTCCACCCTATCTAATCCTCTGATCATCTTGTATGTCTCTATCAAGTCACCTCTTAACCTTCTTCTCTCTAACGAAAACAGCCTCAAGTCCCTCAGCCTTTCCTCATAAGACCTTCCCTTCGTACCAGGCAACATCCTGGTAAATCTCCTCTGCACCCTTTCCAATGCTTCCACATCCTTCCTATAATGCGGTGACCAGAACTGTACGCAATACTCCAAGTGCGGCCGCACCAGAGTTTTGTACAGCTGCAACATGACCTCATGGCTCCGAAACTCAATCCTCTACCAATAAAACCTAACACACCGTACGCCTTCTTAACAACCCTATCAACCTGGGTGGCAACTTTCAGGGATCTATGCACATGGACACAGATCTCTGTGCTCATCCACACTACCAAGAATCTTACCATTAGCCCAGTACTCTGTATTCCTGTTACTCCTTCCAAAGTGAATCACCTCACACTCTTCCGCATTAAACTCCATTTGCCACCTCTCAGCCCAGCTCTGCAGCTTATCTATGTCCCTCTGTAACCTGCAACATCCTTCCGCACTATCCACAACTCCACCGACTTTGGTGTTATCCGCAAATTTACTAACCCATCCTTCTACACCCTCATCCATGTCATTTATAAAAATGACAAACAGCAGTGGCCCCAAAACAGATCCTTGAGGTACACCACTAGTAACTGAACTCCAGGATGAACATTTCCCATCAACCACCACCCTCTGACTTCTTACAGCTAGCCAATTTCTGATCCAAACCGCTAAATCACCCTCAATCCCATGCTTCCGTATTTTCTGCAATAGCCTACCATGGGGAACCTTATCAAACACTTTACTGAAATCCATATCCACCACATCAACCGCTTTACCCTCATCCACCTGTTTGGTCACCTTCTCAAATAACTCAATAAGGTTTGTGAGGCACGACCTACCCTTCACAAAACCGTGTTGACTATCCCTAATCAAATTATTCCTTTCTAGATGATTATAAATCCTATCTCTTATAATCCTTTCCAACACTTTACCCACAACCGAAGTAAGGCTCACTGGTCTATAATTACCAGGGTTGTCTCTACTCCCCTTCTTGAATAAGGGGACAACATTTGCTAGTCTCCAGTCTTCTGGCACTATTCCTGTAGACAATGATGACATAAAGATCAAAGCCAAAGGCTCTGCAATCTCCTCTCTAGCTTCCCAGAGAATCCTAGGATAAATCCCATCCGGCCCAGGGGACTTATCTATTTTCACACCTTCCAGAATTGCTAACACCTCCTCCTTATGAACCTCAATCCCGTCTAGTCTAATAGCCTGTATCTCAGTATTCTCCTCGACAACATTGTCTTTTTCCTGTGTGAATACTGACGAAAAATATGCATTTAGCGCCTCTCCTATCTCTTCAGACTCCACGCACAACTTCCCACTACTGTCCTTGACTGGCCCCAATCTTACTCCAGTCATTCTTTTATTCCTGACATACCTATAGAAAGCTTTAGGGTTTTCCTTGATCCTACCTGCTAAAGACTTCTCATGTCCCCTCCTGGCTCGTCTTAGCTCTCTCTTTAGGTCCTTCCTGGCTAACTTGTAACTCTCAAGCGCCCTAACTGAGCCTTCACGCCTCATCTCTACATAAGCCTCCTTCTTCCTCTTGACAAGAGATTCAACTTCTTTAGTAAACCACGGTTCCCTCGCTCGACCACTTCCTCCCTACCTGACAGGTACATACTTCAAGGACACGCAGTAGCTGTTCCTTGAACAAGCTCCACATTTCAATTGTGCCCAGCCCCTGCAGTTTCCTTCTCCATCCTATGCATCCTAAATCTTGCCTAATCGCCTCATAATTGCCTTTCTCCCAGCTATAACTCTTGCCCTGCGGTATTTACCTATCCCTTTCCATCGCTAAAGTAAACGTAACCGAATTGTGGTCACTATCACCAAAGTGCTCACCTACCTCCAAATCTAACACTGGCCTGGTTCATTACCCAGTACCAAATCCAATGGGGCCTCGCCTCTTGTTGGCCTATCTACATGCTGTGTCAGGAAACCCTCCTGCACACATTGGACAAAAACTGACCCATCTAAAGTACTCGAACTATAGCATATCCAATCAATATTTGGAAAGTTAAAGTCCCCCATAACTACCCTGTTACTTTCGCTCCTATCCAGAATCATCTTTACAATCTTTTCCTCTACATCTCTGGAACTTTTCGGAGGCCTATACAAAACTCCCAACAGGGTGACCTCTCCTTTCCTGTTTCTAACCTCAGCCCATACTACCTCAGTAGACAAGTTGTCATCAAACATCCTTTCTGCCACCGTAATACTGTCCTTGACTAACAATGCCACACCTCCCCCTCTTTTACCACCTTCCCTGATCTTACTGAAACATCTAAACCCCGGAACCTGCAACAACCATTCCTGTCCCTGCTCTATCCATGTCTCCGAAATGGCCACAACATCGAAGTCCCAGGTACCAACCCATGCTGCAACTTCACCCAGCTTCTTCCGGATGCTCCTGGCATTGAAGTAGACACACTTCAAACCACCTTCCTGCCTGCCGGTACACTCCTGCGACCTTGAAACCTTATTCATGACCTCACTACTCTCAACCTCCTGTACACTGGAGTTACAATTCAGGTTCCCATCCCCTTGAATTAGTTTAAACCCTCCTGAAGAGCGTTAGCAAATTTCCCCCCCCAGGATATTGGTACCCCTCTGGTTCAGGTGTAGACCATCCTGTTTGTAGAGGTCCCACCTCCCCCAGAATGAGCCCCAATTATCCAGGTATCTGAATCCCTCCCTCCTGCACCATCCCTGTAGCCACGTGTTCAACTGCTCTCTCTCCCTATTCATTAGAGTTTAGAAGTGATCTCATCAAAACACAGGATTCTTAAGGGGCTTGACAGGGTAAATGCTGAAAGAATGTTTCCCCTCCTGGGAGAGTCTAGGACCAGAGGGCATTGTCTCAATAAAGTGACACCAATTTAACACTGACATGAGGAGGCATTTCTTCTCTCAGAGGGTTGTGAACTTTTGGAATTCCTTGCCACAGAGAGCTTTGGGGACAGAGTCCATGTGTATATTTAAGGCTGAGATAGATAGATTCTTGATCAGTCGGGGAATCAAGGGTCACGGTGAAAGTGCAGTAGAGTGGACATGAGCATTCTCAGATCAGCCTTGATCCTATTGAACTGTGGAGCAGGCACTAGGGGCTGAATGGCCTACTCCTGTTCCTAATTCTTATGGTTGATTGATTGGATGCTGGGAGGTGGTTTCCCATCATGGGGGAAATCTAGAACTAGGGGGACAGTCTAACAATTTGTGGTCTCCCATTTAACACAGGGATGAGAGCTTTTCTTTTTAAAGAAGTGGAGTTGTGGGATGAAAATCTTAAAATTCAGTCCAATAATCATGGACAAAATGACCACAACTGAATTTTTTGCCAAAAAAAGTTACTGTTTCCTAATGCAAGTTAAATCAATCAAGTGAAATGTGACTGATGAGAATGAACAGCTCATTGTCATTAGCTTCAAGTTTAATATTGCTTCTGGATTTTGCATAGGGAGTGAACTTTAAAGATGTGATAATGCCTGTTGAATTTTCTCCACATGGACTTGGACTGTGGAATTCAGGGCATCAAGTTTATTCACGGCTGTTTCAGATAGAGTTCTGATTCACGAAGGGAGGCAAAAGTGTTGGGGGAGTGCAGGAAAGGAAGTTGCATTAGAATCACAATTGGATCAGTCATGATCATTTGAATGGCAGCACAGGTGTGATGGGCTGAATGGCCTACTCTTGTTCCGATTTCTTGCAATCTTACAGTCAATAGCATCAATATAAAAAAACAGGTATTGCAGGACAATCTGTCCAAACACAAAGAACAAATGCGTTCAAATTTCACTAAGGTCTTTATCGCATGTGTAAATAGTTCAAAGGGATTATCACTCAGTTTAATCTACAGTTATCGGAAAAGGTACTTACCAGAGGTGAACCAGCCACTGCATTTAAGTCCGTATCCAACAGTTGTAACTCTACCAGGTTAACAGGCTCCTGGGGAGGGAGGAAGAGAGGAGAAACAAGAAAGCACAAGAGCAGAGTGTATGAAGTAATAAGACACTTTCAGAGGCAGGATACAAAACTAAACTAAATTCCCTTCCTGATGGTACTCTGTTTGCAACAGCAGAGTTCACAAATGTCCTTCAAAGAAGCCAGTTTTAATATGTATGCCCCCTACCACTAACCTGGTGTCAAATAATCCCACTCACCTGCCTCAGAACAGCTCATTCTCAGGGTTACCAAAGTTTTATTCCACCACTGTTCAGCACTCCATTTGGCCTCAGAGTAGATTGCTACAAGTTACTTTTAGGAGCAGTGTTTTAAGGCAAAACAGGCTCCAGGTTTAATAAGGCATTGACAGCAGCAGCAGTCAAAGTGCCAACACATCTCCCCAGAACCACCACCACAAGAACATGACCAGCATGGTGTCCCAGCAACCCATTCTTTTGGGGAGTGCTCTGCTCCCCGCAGCTTCGTGGGATTGTCCATTGTAAGCCGCCCTCCTCAGCAATGAACAAGTGCAAAGTCAAGTCTTTGAACAAAGTTGCAAAGTCAACTGTTCACTGTGGTCTGAAATTTTAGCATGCAGAAGACAGTAACGTGTTATTTACCCCTCTGTTCTTTTTTTTGGGATGGAGCTGACGGGATAGTATTTGTTTCCATGTCTAGCTGTTCCAAGGGCATTATGAGACCACCTCTTATTAAATAAAACTTAAATAAATTCATTGCACTCAATTTTACAACTTGCTGCAGTCAAGTTGGGATGATGTACTGATGTGGCAAAACAGTGCACATTTATTTTCATGTACAGATTGAAGGAGAGTCCTATAGGAAGTAAGGTGGTGGGGGGTAGAGAGAAATATAGTGGTAATGTCATCGGTCTAGTAATCCAGATGGCCAGACTAATAGAGATATGGGTTCAAAATCCCATTACTGCAGCTGGCAGAATTCAAATTCACTTACTAAAAGCCACTCAACCAACCATTATCCATTGTTGTGATACCCATCTGCTTCACAAGTGTTCTTTAGGGAAGGAAATCTGTCATCCACACCCAGTCTGTCCTACATGCTATTTCAAACCCAAAACAATGGGTTAACTGTACTCTGAAATAATCTAGGCAGGCCACTCAGTTCAAGGACAATTGGGCATTGGCAACAAATGTGCAATCCTACAAGAGAAAGATGAAATGCCCAAAATTCTGTTCTCACAACAGGCACTACTGCTACCTCAGGCCCTACCCCAGATTCCTCCCAATTTATTTAATGAGACTCTGTACTCTGCTCTGGAACGCAAGGAACATGGGACCCACACAACACTGAACTGTACCTCCACAGCAGACTCAAAAATACATTTCAATACAACTCAGCTCGCACTGTAAGCTCCCAGTCAACTATTGTTACCTGCATACCGGTGAATTCTGAGCCACTCCAAACAGTTGGACCCATTCAGATGTATCAAAAGGATGAGATCAGTTGAAGTGCAAGTTGTGATGCGCAGCACAGCAAGTGTATAAAAATGTAAGTTAATTAATCACTCCCACTCCCTAATTATTCAGTCTCTCAACTATAAATATTTTAACACTATGTTGCTCCTCCAGTGACAGCACAGATCATCTGTCCAGGAAACACAGATTAATGGGTGACTGAATAGTTCTTTGTAAAGGATGTTTGTCATAGGGCAAGAAAAATGGGGGTACTACAAGCATGCACGATGGCCGAACATCGCAGTGTGCTGATTAAGTGACAGTGAAGTGTACTCACTGCAAGGAAAGCTACACAGTAGCCTCAGTGGCTGCACCTCTTGTAGTTCAAAACAACATCAGAACCTAAAGCAAGAGCACAAGAAGCAGGAAGACTAGATTATGTAGCCTGTCAAGTTTGCTTTACCATTCAATACAATCACAGCTGATCTTTAGCCTCAGCTCCCACTTTCCCACCAGTTCCCCATTTCCTTTAATTCTCTGACACACCAAAGACGTCTGTTTTGTGCTCCAGGCCAGACTAAAGGCAGTGAGCCCATTATCCAGGCTAACAATCTGAGGGAGCTAATGAAAGTGCCAATGTTCGCATGCTGCCTTTACGGTAAGCTTCACAAACGGAGGCTCCAGCTGCACTCTCAGATAGCTGTAACTGATCCCAGGGTGTGACCTGCAGAAGAGGTGGAGAGAGGACAGAGATCAGGTGGGCTTACGGAGAGATCAGTCTCAGGTTCTGGCTGACGTTTAACTCTCAATCAGCTCAGCATCAGTGAAACATTAACCAGTTGTTTCAGTTTTGTTCGTGAAATGTGCTTGTCGTGGGCTGGCCCAGCGCTTCTTTCCCATCTTAAATGCCCTGGGGTAGGTGCTTTGCAGCTACCTTATTCTTAACGCCCACATCTGGAGCTGCTGTCACATACATCTACAATCCAGCGTTGATTTAAAAAAGTTGCATTCGTACAGCGTCCAACGTCCATTGGCAATTTCAAAGCATCCCTCAGGCAGCAGCTATTCTGTGCACAGCAAGTGCAAAAAGTGAACAAAAAGTTAAAACTGTTCTTTGCTAGCACTGGTTGGAGGCACAACGTTGACTGGGGCTCGAACTGCCTCCTCCGAGTATATCAGGATTGTGACCACCCGCCTGTAAAGGTGAGCAGAACCTCTCTTTTGCCTCCTCAAAAGGTCCATCAGGTCCCCCTTTGACATGCTGGCAACACGCAAATCCCAAAAGGGTATCCATAAAGAAAAAAAGGAAAACGTGACCTACAACTGTCTAAAGCTACCACAGGTAAATTAAAAGCAGAAATCTGTGGTAAAGCAGCATTTAACTCAAGTGGACCATCCAAAGCCACATGCGTGGGACTGTAATCTCACCTTAGCTGAAATAAACTGCCAGCAAGTTTCAGAACATCTTACCACAATGCGTTGAGCAGATTTTCACCTCTGCTGTCTCAGACTGCCAGGAGATCGAGTTACTTTGTACCGTGGTTTAACTGGAAGGTTTTGGTCAGGTTGTAGTGCAGGATCTCCAGTGGCAGGGTGAGCAGGGTCTGGAGGGAGGAACATTCAAGAATTAAACAGTCGTTTCAGCACTGAAAAAGCAACCACATGAGCAGAAACAGGATTTGGTATCAAGAGGCACTCCCTTTAGAAAAGGGCAGTGAAGTCCCTAGGATGAAACGGGAACATTCCCTGCTTCCCAACACTTGTGGGAGGGGGTTGGGGGGAAACAAGGCTGTATTCAGGAGTTCATTACACACATGTTTGTTCTATCTTCCTAGTGATACAACCATAAAACCAAAAGCCAACTACCCACAATCTGCCAACTTCTACCATGAACTTGAAGTGCCCCATGGTTCGTGGAGATTCTGCTGGTACCCCTCGTCCCAGATGAAGCAGTATGGACTGGAAGTAAAGCAAAAAGACAAGATGCAAGTTTGGGCACTTCATTTACCAGGTCTGAAACTCAATCTTACTCATGAGATGCAGAAGCAGAAAAGGCCCACCTGACATCGTAAACCCCATCCACGTGTTTGTCATTTTCCAAACTCAACTGTTCAAACCCTATCCTGGTCAGCCTCCCGGTACAGCTTCCATCTTCTGTAAACTTAATCTCATCAAAAACCTGGCTGCTTGTATCTCGGCTCTCATATTGCCCGTGCTTGCTGGCCATTTTGAGGATATAGGAAGCAGAGTTTTAGATGAAGTTCAACTTAACAGCGAGGAAAGTAGAAGAAAAGCTAAAAGAACATTGAGATAGTAAAAACTATGGGTTGGGATTAGAATAGTTAGATGGTTGTATTTAGCCAGCATGGGCATAATGGGCCAAAGAGTCTTTTTCTGTGCTGTAGATCTCTATGCCTACATTGCCATTTTCAAGCCCCTTGACAGCCTTGCTCCTTCCCATCTTGTGATCCCTTCCAGCTCCACACAGCCCTCAAAACACCCTGCATTCCCCCAACTCTCTTGTGCATTCCCCATCCCATCACTGAAGGCCATGCTTAAGCCATTCAGGCCCCAAGCGCAGAAACTGCTTCGTCAAAGCTCCTCACCTTCACCGCTGGGCACTTGAACTGAACCATGGGTCACCTGTCCAAATCTTTCATTCCTTAGCTAGGTAGTGTCAACTTTTGTTTCTGCAGAAAAGAGAGTTGTTGCAGTTTGATGAGGCTTTAAAGTTCCCTTCCCTTTCTCAGTCATTGTCTTGTTCATGTTTCTAAGCATGTTCCAAGGAACATCACCTTTTTGAAAAAAAAGAAAAATTTGCTCAAGTCTAGGAATTTTCCACACCCGCTGATCAGTCCACTAAACATCAGGTAAGCAACTGGTGTATCTTAGTTTTCGGCAGCCCCATGTCGCACTTCTCTTAACCCCTGATTTGTGGAGAGGCAGGAGGCATCTTATCTCAAAGGGTAAAGATGAGCTTTGTATGGAGTTTGCCCCTCATTAGGCCGAAGAGGGGAGCTTTTCCAAATCAGGATACAGTCCTATCATACATGGAAAATCTGGGATGCAAAAAACATAACCTGTTGGATGCTAATACTTCACGTTACCCAGCCTAGCATCCAACTGCAGCCTGCATTTCCCCAGTTCCAGTACCCCATCTAACAAATAATTACAAACAGCAGAGGTTAGCAATTATGGTCACAAATACACACCAAGGCTGGCCTTAAGAGTCTGGTTCAACTTTTGCAGTAACATTTAATACTTTAAATCACATTTGCTGGTAGACCTTCATTAAGCTCCTTCACCACTTTACACGTGACCATTCTCTCTCAGGATAAGTGCAATCATACACAAAATTGCTCAGTGATGCAATAAAGGTCTTTGCATTGCCGAGGCTGGCTATTCCACTGACACACTTCCAATTCCAACACACACTGCTTTCACTATCTCAGCATTGGAAGTGACAAGCCTGCCATAGTTTCTAGACCCCTCTCAAAAGCCCCAGGCTGTTTCTTCCCAATGGGAGAATTAGGTCAACACCTCAATCCATTTGTCCAGGATGCAACTCTCCATGCAATTTCATCGCTTCTCTGCCAATCAACACATTA